ACATTAAAGAATAATACAAATGGATTTACTAGAATGACTTAAAATTTATACAGGCTTAATATAGGAATTTCAGTTGACTAAGAAAGTGGAATCCAAGCTACGACCTAAATCCTGGAGGCCAAATCAGAGGTCAGAGGGCTGGGATGATAGAGATTGAATTGAAGAGCCGATACCCAATGGCAAAGTAGTTTGTTGGAGGCTACCGCAGAAGTTAGGAGATTAGGTATCCAATAGATTAATAAGACGCAGATGTATATAAGTGTATCCGGGCAACTTGGTGGTTTAGAATTAACGGCAGGAATATAGAAGTCACAAAAGATCGCTTATATGTAGTAATACAGATAAATTAACAGATTCATAAAGTTATAGTGGTGGGTTCATAATTGAGTTAGCTAAATGAAAAGTATATTGACACATTAAGCATAGCATCCAAGCGGTGATTTGAAGTCCTGAGGGCCAAGTCAGAGGTCACAGCACGAGGAGGTGAAGAACGTATTGGAGAGCCGGTGCACCAGGGCGGAGTATCAAGATAAAACATCTCCAAGAATAGAGGGTACCTGAGATTTAAGGAGAAGTAAGAAAGGAGAAAGGTATGGCTTTACTGCCTTTCCCGACAATCAGTGTCATAAGTATCTTATTAGTTTTGAGTTTGCCTGGCCAGTCAAGAGCCAGATAATGTTTCCAAATCCAAATGTTAAGCAACATGCTGCTAAAGCATCAAGGGACAATGTTTCCGACAAAAAGTCTGGTTTCTATGGGTATAGCATATATTGGTCTCATTCTAGCCGCAGTGTGTAGGCATAATTAGTAAAAATAAGAAGAAGAGACAATTTTCAGTAACCATTATTGTTTACGTTTTGACAAAACGTGGAGTCGTGAAAAATAAGAATATTAATATTTAATTCAAATTAGTAGCAGTATGCTGCGGTTAATATTATTATCCCACAGAGGGAAACAAGAGTCCTCATCATGGCCAGTCGTATCGATAGAAAGGTGGGCAGACAACCTTGGTATGTAAATAAATTAATTGATGAAAACGATTTTAAATTCTTTGTCCATATTTGGCTAGATTATTCTTGGACTTTATGAGTAATGGATTCAGTTAAAGTTGAGAATCCATCATGTATCTTGGCAGCAAATACTTCACGATCCCTTGCAGGGGCTGCTACATGAAAGTCAACCAGGATGATTCATTATACATTGCTTATGGAGGATTAAATAAGTTGATGTGGATTTGATTCAGATAAGAATAAATAATGATGGCAGTAAAGTAAGATTAAACTAATCAGTTCCTTATTTATTTAGTGAAACATGGGAAAAACAGGATCAGTTGTGCTGAGCGAAATTAAATCGTTGTACGTTGAACCAATCAACATCACACGGGATGATTATTCATTAGTGTCCCAGAAAGCTGCAATGGCCGGATTTAGTAGCAGTTGATCATCAGATAAATGTGGCGAATGACGAGTTAATAAAGGAATCTGTGGAGTAACGACGTTTGAGGTGCTGGAAGAGGGTACAGTAATTATGTCTTCCCTAGGCTGATCACAGTCAAGAAATTGATCTAACTCATTTTCAATTTGCAGCTTCAAGGTGGCTAACCTATCATCAAGTTGCTGTTCAGGAGTAGGTGGCGGAATCTCACTCGGAGATAGAGGAGTCATGATCAAACGTTGGATATATTCTGGCTGATTCATGATTTTCTGTGCCGTTTCCCAGCGCGTGGCAGCACCACTACGAAGCCTTCGGGATAGGGTATTTACCCAAAACATCGAGGGACGCATTGAAGGATTCCGTTCTAGCTCAAGACGCTCACGTTCAATTCGGGCTTCAGCCGCTTGTTTCGCTTTAAAACTATTATGTAAGTCAAGTTGCTGTTGCTCGAAGCGTATTAAAGTAGGAAGTTGGTCCAGAAAGGTAGAATGCAAGTGTTGTGAATGTTGTTGTTGCGGGAGTACCTGCCGCAAGGGAAGGAAGTGTTTTTCAATTTGGTCTTTGTATCTTGGCCTATCAAGTCTATCAGGAATAAAGAGATCAGATAGGATACGTCTAGCCTCAACATTTGGATGAGAAATTAACGAGGCTGCAAGTCTGCCGCTGGATTCAGTGTAGACTTCTTCAACAGATTTAATATTATACAGGTCACGTATAGTTTGATTCCTAACATATCTACCGGATTTAGAAATTTTCCGGAATAGCTTGCTATGTGCAGACTCCATCTTCTGAAAATTAGTATTAGAAATAAGCGCACCCCAAATGGGTAAGGCATATTGCCAGATGGGGGCAACAATTTGTTTGTACAATAAGATTTTACTTTCTGTAGGGAGGCTGCTTTTGTTTCCAATGATCCAGTTTAAACTAATGGTAACTGAGCGAATCCGATTTACAAGCATATTAATATGGTGATGAAGAACAAGCTTTCTATCCAATATGAGTCCAAGGTATCTATGTTTAGGTTCGTTTTTAATAAGGACACCATTCATCTTAGGTGATTTAGGCCCAGTTAGGGTGGAGGTAGAGCGTTTTGTGAAGAGTACATGAACCGTTTTTCCTGGGTTAAGAGTAATACACCAATCAGTGGCCCAGCTAGTAATGTGACTAAGGAAAAATTCATTGCAGTAAATGGCTTGGTAAGCTTCCTTCCTGGTACAGAGAATAATGGTATCATCCGCATACGTAGATAACAGTGTGTTGATAAGACGTTCAGGATTGTATACAGAGTTATGGTTGATAACTTCAGGAATGGGCATATCTGAGGTGAAGACTGAATAAAGAATAGGACCCAGAACACTCCCTTGTGGAACGCCAGCTTTAATATTTCCAGTTTTGGATGATGCTCCATTTATTCCATTAACAGTGAACGTCCGATTAGTTAAGTAGCTTTCTAAGACTTTGTATAGTGAGTAAGGGAGAAGGTTAGCTAGTTTTGATAGGAGGCCCACGTGCCAAACTCGATCAAAGGCCTCACTCACATCTAGAAAAACAGCAGAACAGAAAGAGTTTTGCTCATAGGCAGATAAAATGTGTTGAGTTACGCGTAGCAACTGCTGTTCAGTACTGTGCTGTTTTCTAAAGCCAAATTGGTGAGAGGGAATGGCTTGCTCAAAGTCTTGGCAATGAAACATTCTGTCCAGTAGAAGTGTTTCAAATATTTTTGAGAAACCAGCTAAAAGACTGATAGGTCTGTAGGAAGCAACTTCATAGGGACTTTTTCCTGGTTTCTTAACCATAGTGATTGCTGCGTGTTTCCATTGCCTGGGGAAGTGGCCGTGTCTTAGAATACAGTTGTAGATGTGGGTAAGATAAAGGATAGCTTTATAGGGAAGTAACTTGATGACATTATTGTCAATGAGATCTGGTCCAGGAGCCTTTTTGTTTTGAAGGAGTTTTATATTGGACTGTACTTCTCTAGGTGAAATAGGTCGGAAAGGGACGCCAATGCTGTTTGATACATTGTCAAAGGATTCACGATAGATCCAACTGGGTGCAGCCATTAGGGATTTTTGGAGGCAGACTTCTTCTTTTACGGCAAGAACTTTAGCCCTGAACTCAGGTGTGTTGGTAAGTTTTGGTGAGAACCTTTTTTCCAAGTGATTAACAAATGCGTTTAATTTATCATCATTACTTTTAGTCCAGGTGAATGAGTCATTAGCACTATTACTATCATTATCAAAAAATTTGAGTGGCCAGTTGGGTTCCGGTTGTCTTTTGAAATGATTAGTGATTTTCCAAAGCTTTTGAAATCGATAGCGATCTAGTGGATCAATTTTATTAAATAACAAATTTGTCCTTTTAAGTTTTTCTTCACGTAGAGCTTTGGTAAAACGCCTACAAGCAGTCACGAAATTTTTCCTGGCAGTTGGAGTTTGCAATGCTAACTGAACGCGTTTCATATATATCTTAACATCTTGGAGTCTACGGAGTTTATGATTTAGTGGGATATACCCTGGGCGAATAGAGTGATGAGTATTCATATAGCGAGTAGCTAAGGAAGCTGCATGGTAGATGTTACGGTTTAGGATGTCGATCGCATCCTCAATGTCTTGACCACTATTAATATCTGTATTTAACAGAGTAAGTTCTGACAGAGTATTCTGAAATTTCTTTATTTTGGAACCAGAAGGGAGCAGCCGGTGTAGTTTTTGAGTGTGGTCAATATTGCCCCTAACTGAAAGCTTAACAAATATTGGTAAGTGATCAGACCTCAGATCAACTACTGAGTGGGTGAGAGTTCTATCACAGTGAAGGCCAGAATAAACTGCAAAGTCTATAGCTGACGGATTTTTCCTCTGATCAAACGGGAAATGAGTGGCACCACCTGTGGCCAGCACATTCAGCAGAGCATTTGAGTGGATAGATTCAAGAAGAGACCTACCCCTAGGGCAAGATCTAGGATTACCCCACCAAGGGTGCTTAGCGTTCCAGTCTCCACATAGTAAGAACTTTGAATTTTTGGATAGGGCTTTAAAGTGTGCAAAAGCCTTTGAAAGTGTCCTGTGGTCCAAGAAAAGATTGGCGGGCAGTAGATAGGACTAATAATTATTTCCTCAGAATTTGTAGTGTGTAGCGAGATCGGTGCACATTGAAGAAATTCCTCCTCAATGGGCTGTAAGGCAATGTGCTTTAGTTTAGCATTTACATAAGTAACAGTTCCCCCTTTTCTATCACTAGAGGGATGGAAAGAGGAGTACATTAGGTATCCATCCATGTTATAAGGACTAACTGATGAAGGGTTGGAGCCAAGATTTATAGGTAAACGACTTTCAACAACCAACATTATGTCAATGTTATTTAGCTTCACAAAAAATTCTAATTCAGACATTTTATTGTTAAGTCCACAGGCATTCCAGTAGGCAATATTTATAAAATTATTATTATTTAGTTCACTAGTGGGATTACCAAGATTCTGTGGCAACCTACAGTGCACATACCTTTGCAGCGGGGTTGAATAGTTGGCAAGAGGGTGATGACCAATGGGTGGCGGAGTCATAATAGGTAACTTAGTACAGCTTCAATAAAATACAGCCACGACTCGAAAACTGTCCAATGATCACCTCCAGATAGTAAACAGGTCGACCAATCAACAGGAGCACTATCACATAGGGTATAAGGAAGGCACCCCCACCATTCTCCAGAGCTATGAATGGAAATCTCCAGACATTTCCCAAACCCACGGACAGGGCTATGCAGGAGAAAAGAAACTCCACGCCTTTGCCCCACTTGTCTCTTTGAGTTGAAGTCTGGGATTCCATTTCATGAACAATATCACAGTTTATGGTAAGCTGAATATTAAATTAAAATTAATAAACATTTAATTAGAGGGAGTTTTAACTATTTTAACGCACTTCTTCTCCAGCTGAGGTATAAATAACAGCCGTTCCAGATCCTGATTGCTCTTGCCTCGATCCTTCCACGTTACAGCTCAGTTTCTGATACTCTGCATCATCCATATTTAAGGATTAGGGCTGATTCAAGGTACAAGACAATAAATTTAATGCAAGCAACTAGACAAAACACAAGCTCAGAAGCAAAGTAACATATAATAAAACTAAGTTATACCAGAATTTAATAATTATTATTTATTAATACTTAATAATTAATTAATAATACTTTCTTCCGTAAGAAATCCGTACATTTTTTTATAACAAATTTCCTTTTAAACAAAATAAATCTGCATACGACAATTAATTATTAAATGTTTTCTTGAGCTATCTCCAAATTTTATAATTTATGACTCTTGCTGCTGTTGACTGATATGAAAAATTGCAATCGTTCGAGTTCAACGCGTTCATTAATCACCAAAACTGAAATGTCTTGCATATTTTCAAGATCCAGAACCAATGTGCATCGTCTACAAATTATAGCATTGTCTGAAGAATCTGCCTTATCGTGTTACTTAGCAGTTCAAGGCGTAGTATTAACAAAAATTCTTCAACCCAATTCTAGCATCTAAACGAAAGCTGTTGACAGAAGATTTAAGTTCCCCTTTTTGGGGGATTTTCTTATCAAAATATGCTCTTATCATGATGATATAAACATGTAGCATGCTTTAACACTTAATGGACGTAATTCTAGAATTTTATCTCCTGCACCTATTTAAACTGCAACCAGCACCACACAAATTCAACTTTTTTATGAGAGTTTTTGGAACATCTTATACTACCGTGGAATACTGCCAAAGTAGTGGGTGCCGTGTTTTCTTTTCAGTAGAACCGTCTTTAACAAGCTGCTCGATGTGACTAACTGGTGCATCGAAGATTATCCGCTAGGAAACCTACGAGACACAGTTGAGCTTATGAATTCCGACGATCCCACAGCAGCTGGTAAAAATCCGATATCACAAACATTTTTTTTTTTGACAAAATATGAAGTTGTCAATATTTTTATGTACAAATAACTAAAAATAATTAAATGAACAGAAAACAAGTTGCAAACTGCCGTCTCATAATCAAGGTCGTACTTGTTAAGCGGCGCTGTCCTCAAAATATAAATCATTTCAATTAACTGTTCTAGTTTATAGATTTGCGGACCAATCGATGACCGGCCCCCCTTTTCTATTCATCTAGCCGCATTTAAGACAAATAAATCTGATTTCTTTAAAGAACGTTTACTGGGTGAAAACCAAACAAATGCCAGTTGGCAAACTATCACAACAAATTTTGGTAAGCTATCTTAATAATTTCCGTATTAGTTACGGTGGTGACGTCGGTGTCGACGGTGAAGATGATGATTTAGTTGATTATTTTGCTGGGATGAATGTTGCTGAGGAGCGGGAATATTTAGCGGATTTTGCTGCCGGTCTTCTTGGTTATGCTGATGCATTCTTCTGGGGCTGTCTGTGGAGCGACGTTGTCGCTGCAGAAGCTTCTGTTGCTGTTCGTGAAAGCGCTGCAGTGGATCAAAGAAACTTCTTCCATGCGACAGGGACATGGACCGATGCCGGCGCTGCGGTGGGTGTGGGTGCGGCTGTGGCTGCAGCCTCGGTGCATTAATAGAAGCGTCCTCTAAGTCTTTAATTTGGGTCAATGCAGCACCAAAGTAACAATAGTCATTACACTCACCTGGCACAACCTCAAAAGATTTCTGACCGTTCGTACCAATAACTAACTTCGCATACTTAAATCTGCAACAAATAAATGTTAGTTCCAAATGGTTATTCTTATAAAATACACTAAAAAGTTTGCTGAATTTGCCATTACTTACTTTGGGAATTTTGGAAATAAATGCCAGGAGCCTAAAGTGTAATCTTCATTAAAAATGAACTCATGGCTCCGGATCAGGTCCTAGCATAGTGATGTATCTTCCGAGATACTTTTAGAAAGTAATAGCAAATTAGCAAACCTTTTCTTAATCAATAGACCTATTGAAATATGTGTCATTTTATATTTAATCTGGTATTAAAATCTTTTACAGAAAGTAGGATACATTATCTATTAATTTTACTGTTTTATAGAAATAAATATTTAAAAAAAAATATATTTAAATCCGATTAAAATATTAGTTTTATTCAAAACTCACATTATTTTCTTGAGATTAATTATCTCCGCCTGCATGGCAGTATTTCGTTCCTTCTGTTTGGTCTGCCGCGATATAATCCTTGAATTTTCCTCCTTCATCAACTTGATGGCGTGATCCTGTCGTCTAAGCTCCTTCTGCTTAAATGTTAGGGTTCCGAAAAGGTTGCTGAACTCCTTCTCTTTCAGGGTCAGGTTCTTCTTTACCTGCAACGAGAAATAAGTATAAACATAAGAACGGATCCTGATTCAGAGACCCGGACCTCTTCAAAGGATGTTATTTCTTTGTACATTTTATCGATTTTGAGCTGACAATCCCTCTCGTTGTCTTGAAGGTCATTGATCATGTCGCTGCGTAGGGAGAGCATTTTCTGATCCCGACTGGATTGATCGCGCAACTTTTCTAAATCCTTGCGCAGTTGCTCCTCGTTTCGAGCGTGGATGATACGTTTAGCTTCAGAGTTCCTCAGCTGCTCGCGGAGCTCACTGGAAGAACAGATCATACGTTTTGGGATATACGCATTAAATATGTTTAAACATGAATCCACTTACTTCAATTGAGTAGCGGAGCTCTGGTACTTGGCGTTCAACTCATCAAACTCTGCCACTTGCTTCACAGCAGCGTTAACTTGTTTTTGCATCATGTTCCGGTGATGCTCGAAATTTTGGAGCTGCAACTTAAGGTCAGCGATGATCACATTTTTCTCGCCCATACTCTTGTCGTCCAAGGGATCTGGACGCTTTTGCAGATTGACAATTAACTCTCGGGCTTCTTTCAGTTCATCTCGCAAGTACGAGATTTTCTCCTCGAGATTCGCGACCGTCTTGTTCGCACGTTCTAATCCAAGGTTAGTGTCCTCCATACTCTTTTGAATGCGGTTGTTGCTTAAAAAATTAATTTTTATAAATTTTTATCATTTTATGTATGATGTTTTTCACTTACACCCTAACAAGCTCGTCGTTTTCAGACTGCAATGTTAAAATAGTTTGGTTGCTGGTCTTTAGGTCATCATCCTTTTCCGATAAACGTATATTCAACTCTGCAACCAGATCCTCGCTGCGTCGCAGGGACTTTCTCAATTCCGAGACTGTATGATTTTTTTTTTTTAATTAATTATTTTCTTTTTAGTATTAAAAAGAAAAAAGTTTGGAACTACTTACTATTTTTAGGCAAAATGACATCCTTTGCAGCCGAATGTTGTGGCTGTAAGTCTAACCGCACTCGCTTATTTACGGGCTTAAAGTCCGTCTGGTCGTTGAGTACTTCTAGGGAACTAGTTTTATCCTTTTGGTTTGAAATCTGCAAGTCGCCATCTCCTGCCACAAGCGCCTTCCGCTTCGGGCTGGCTTTTTCCTTTAAATGGTTGGGCAGCGAGCAGATACTCACCCGATCTGGGGATGAGCCCCGGAGGGAACCCATAGGCGATGTGGGCCTTGAAGTTCTCACGCCCGGAACTCTACGGGTCGGAATACGGCTACTGTTGCGTAGAAGCGATGCCGGTAATCCCTGCGGTGGGCAAGGATCGGGCTTGCCAAATCCTCCAGGACGTGAGGGAGCGTTCGACTATGGAACGGAAAGGTATTTCCCATTGCACATCCAGACATCGAAAAAAAAAAGTTACTCACCCAGGTGACGGTCCGAGTCTGTGGCTTTTCAGCCAATTGTTGAGCACGCAGCCTGGAGGCTCGATTTTCTATGAACCGGATCTCGCAACAATGAACAAACGGCTTTTTCTTATGAACCTACTTACCCCTAACATTTGAAGCAGCGTTTAGTAGAGAAGACATGATAGCTTTACCAAATATTTATTTTTTGGAAAACTGCGCGAGTTTTGTTTTTGTTATTTTGAATGCGAAAAACTATTTAAAATTTCGAAAGAATTCACTAATCAAATATATGTCGGCTGGAAATTGTAGAAAAAACCGGGTATTCGCTTATACGATTTTACAAATAATGATAAATCTCAAGCACGACAGTCTAGCTCCATGACTCCATAATGTCATGGATTGCTTGATCCGGATTTTTGCGATTTTGTTTAGAATGAGCGAACAAAAACATAAAAGAATAATATAAACAAACCCGAAGCCTCCCACAAAGAGGAATCCAAGCTAAATGTGGGGCCAAAGTAGAGCAATGGGGCTCTCCGTAGTGCTCTCCATAAGCCACTCACCCTTGCAGTCGTCGGGCCCGTAATGATGCACGTCGTCTGTCCAATAATCGGACTCGGCTCGTGTGAATTTGCATTCAGTTGCGGTCCGAGTGCCCTACGAGTTGGAGGTTTCTTATTTATATACATCAGTTTCTAAAATCTAGAGCTAAATGGCCCATCAATACTAAGCTGTACAATTGCCAAAAAGTATCTAAGAGATACCCAAAATACATTAAATACCAGTCACAGATACTAAGCTATAGTAAGTGGTTAACAAGTGAAAACAGGTTAGAATGTACATATATTAGTAACTAAAAAGAAACCCTAAAAGTGACTTTAATGATGAAATCTAGGGAAATCGTTATTTTTTCACCCTTTTTGGCTATTATTTTGCTTGAGGCAGACGGCGCGTTTTTCAATTGAATTTAATCAGTGACGTAGTCGCTCTTACATAATAATACATATAATAATGCGAGATACGATTTATTATTCAAAGGGTAAACAACATCAAGTTCCGCATGGCAATTGGATTACTGTGATTCGGTTCTCAAAGGAAATGGAAAGTGTCAGTTTAAAAATAGATGCCTATGCTAGTGCAATATGGTGAATTCGATATCACATGGAGCTCTCTAATTGAAGGCTGCGTTTAGTATTTCAAGTTCATTTCAGTGCTGGAACTGGGTCCCAATGGCTGCCATTGGCATTTGATACGAAGGCGGATAATTAAGACAATTAACAGCCTGGAAACTGAAATACCAGAAATAGTTTTGCGCCGCATAACTTGTCTCTAATTCTTATTCCAGTAGCTCGTCAGAATGAGGGTCCTGCCGGTCCTTCTTGTGGTTCTGGCCTTGGCAAGGATCGAGGCCTGTAACCGGTCGCCGTCGGGAACTACTGCAGCCAAATCACCGGTGGACGATAACTTTGTGTTATCCGTGGGCGGAAATGCCCACAGCTACGTCCCTGGACAGAAATATAATGGTTAGTTGGGTCTTTTCCATAAAATTATATTTACGGAGTAACCTAAATAATTCCTTAAACACAGTTACTCTCAGTGCCTTTGGCGGCCTGTCGTTCGTGAGCTTCATGTTGGCTTTGGATCTGGAAACTGGAGAGAGCGAGGACAATCCGAATGCAGTGGGCACCTGGGAAATAAGCGATCTGGCCGAGACTCGTTTTAGCCCGAGGTGTGCCAATCTAGTGGAGAACACAAACACGAATATCAAAACCCGGGTGGACTTGGTTTGGGTCGCTCCTTCCACACCAGGACAAGGATGCATCCTGCTGAGGGCAACAGTACTGCAGCACCGGGATGTGTGGTTCATGGACGATGGTTTTCTCACCAAAAGGATGTGTGAGGAGGAGGTGGACGACATTGACACTCAGCCCAGCATCATGGATCCTTGCTGTGCCTGTGATGAAGCCAAATATGAGGTAAGAATACCTAAAATATCTAAAGAGATTCAACTAATAATAGCGTTATTTAAAGCTCACCTTTGAGGGCAAATGGTCGCGGCACACGCATCCCAAGGATTTTCCGGCCAATAGCTGGCGTACCAGATTCAGCGACATCATTGGGGCATCCCATACCATAGACTACAGATTCTGGCAGTACGGGGAGTTAGCCAGTGAAGGACTGCGGGAGGTGGCCGAACACGGCTCCACCCGTACCCTGGAGAGCGAGCTGAAGGATCAGAGCGAACACATCCGGACAATCATCAAGGCCCGGGGCATAGCTTATCCGAATGTTACGGGCAAGACGTTCGCTGTTTTCCGTGTGGATTCCAGTCACCACCTGATATCGCTGGTCTCCATGGTGGATCCCTCGCCGGATTGGATAGTGGGTGTTTCTGGTCTGGAGTTGTGTTTGCCTAACTGTTCCTGGGTGGAAAACAAAGTGCACAATCTCTATCCTTGGGATGCGGGCACAGATAGTGGGCCTTCTTACATGGTTAGTATTTGCATTTCTTTAAATAAACAAATCAAACTGAAAATGGTTATGTTAACAGTCAGCAGATCAACCACAAGTTCCGCCAGATGTTATCCGTCGCATCAAGTCCAACTATCCCAATGATCTACGGTCACCCTTCTACGATCCCACTGGCGCCCAGATGAAGCCTCTGGCCACCTTGCACATTAACCGGCGACGCCTGTACGAAAAGAACTGCGAATCAACGGATTGTAAGAGAACTTCAACTGCATAGTATACCATAATTTATAAAATTCTGATTCCCAGCGGAACAACTACCGCCTGAGTGCGCCACCGAGGCGTGGTCTAAATGGGATGAGTGCACCACCAAGTGCGGACCCGGAAAGCAATACCGGACACGTGAATTCAAGAACCCCGTGCTGGCCTCGGTGAGTTGAGGTTGTGTGCCACTTCAGGGGTCCTTATCATTATCCTATTTCGTAGCGCCATCGTTGCAACAATGCCCTCCGCGAGGAAAAGAACTGTGTGGGTCGCAAGTGCGCCAGTTTCAATGAGGAAGAAGTCGAGGCTCAACAGGAAACCGGTGGCACTCCCCCGGGTGGCTACGATGATCCGCAATGCGGCCTGTCGGAATGGAGCGAGTGGTCCTCCTGCACGGTGACCTGTGGCACCGGCGAGATGACGCGATCCCGCCATTATCTCAACAAGAAGGCCAAAAAGAAGTGCCAGAAGGCGAGCAAGGTGCGACTGCAGGAAACAAAGGTCTGCGAGGCTATGGAGTGCGGTGGTGACATCGAGAACGGTGCTGATGGAGGCGGTGATCCGGAAGAGGAACAGTCTGGTGGCGAAAATGGAGGCTCTGCGGAGAAGCGTTCGATATTCCGCAATTTTGAAAGCTACAGCCAGCACCGGGAGGACTTTATCCCGCCTGTTTGTGGAGTGACTCCTTGGTCTGACTTTTCACCCTGCTCAGCTCCTTGTGGTGGACATGGAAAGCGCCAACGCATTCGCAAGGTCTGGAATAACAATCAGGTCTACGGAGTGGAAGATCCCAACTATGATGGTCCGGATCCCTGTCGCCACATCAAGTTGCAGGAGGAGGTGAACTGCACGAATCCCAGCTGCGACACCATCGTACCAGGTTTCTGCTACGATCAACTGACGGATAGTCCCTGCCGGGACAGCGATGTGGTAAACTTCTGGTATTATGACCACGTGAGTGACCACTGCGCCATCTACTGGTCGGACCGGTGCGACACCAACCGCAACAAGTTTAAGTCGAAGGAGGAGTGCGAAGACACTTGTCGCGTGCCGCGTCACAAGCAGGAGCTGCAGCACGATGGCCGTCCGCCAGTTGATTGCCTGGTCTCCGAGTGGGTGTCCCACATATGCAATGCCACCTGCGGCGATGGTTACCAGCTGCGAACGCGACGTGTCTTGAGAACTCCCAAATACGGCGGTCGTTCATGTCCCAAGCACTTGGTACGTCTGGACCGCTGCTATCAGAGATGCGACGACATGTATTCCATAAGCAGTCGCGGTTTCGGCGAGAGAAGGCACGTGGTGAAGGTCCATCCGATGCCTGAGCGAGATGAGTGTCGCTATTCGGAGTGGTCTGCCTGGACGCCGTGCACCGCCACTTGTGGCGACAATGCTGTACGCCAGCGCACCCGCACCCTCCTCAACACGGACATGAGCTTCAAGTGCAAGGACCGGGTTCGAATAGAGAAGTGTGTGATGATGCCCTGCTTGCTGACCAGCAACGACGATCCCGACAGGTGGTGACTGTAGCCGAGATGAAGATTCTTTAGCTGTAATAAGTATTAATTGTAATCCAATTATGTAATCACATAGAAAAATGATATTTCAAATATTCTGGATTAACTTTCAAAAGTTTTACTTTAGGGAAAGAGCTCTGTATAGCTTACTCTATGTTATATGGCGTACTGACTGCTCTAATTAATAAACCAAAAAAGGTCTATTTCCCTTCCCTATGAGTTTGTCATTGACCCAGATCTGTTGTATAACTTTGAACACTTTCCCAGTGATTTTTGCCCGCTTCCAAGTTCAAAGAACTCAGAACTGAGACGTTAAATGGAGAGCGTGCCACAAAAACAAGGGACTCTTAATTGGCGGCAACTCAATCAATCAGACTAAGGGGATAATTGATAAATTGAAGCGCACATCGATTAATGGAGGCGGCGACTCGATCAATTTTTGGCCAGTTGTCTTTGAGCTCTGAATGTGTTCGCATCGGGATTTCGCAAATCGAGAAGAAATGCTACGCCGGATATTTCTGATCCTTTTTCTGGCCTACGAAGTGAGGGGAGCCTGCGATCGTGTGCCTCAAGGCGCTAATGGTGAACGATCCGCGGTAGATGACAATTTTCAGATTCTTATTGATGGCAATCCAGAAACCTACATTCCAGATCATCAGTACAATGGTAAGGATAGAATAGCATCATGTCCATTCACATTTTGTAAAGAAAAATATACGTTTCCTAGTTTCGTTATCCTGTCCAATAAATTTGAAATTCCTCAGCTTCACTCTGGTCATAGAGAGCGAGGATCCATCTCTTAGTTTAAGTGGCGTGGATACGACTGGTCACTTTGAGCTTTTTAGCACAACGGACACTAGGTTTGCCTCAGGATGTGAGAATATGGTGGAGAGTACCAACACAAACGCCAAGAACAGCATTAAGGTGTCCTGGGTGGCACCACGTCATTCCGAAAGTGGGTGCGTGTTGATCAAGGCCGGCATTGTCCAACATCGCGATGTTTGGTTTATCGACGATGGGTTCTTGACCAAGCGGATTTGTCCCGAAGAGATCGATGAGCTTAACATCTTGACGCCACCTCTGGAAACCTGCTGTGCTTGTGATGAAGCCAAGTATGAGGTTAGTTCCGTGGGGAGGAAGAGTCAGAGGATTATATCAGTGGAGGAGTTAAAAAAATGTCTTTACAGATCGTTCTAGAACGAAAATGGAACAGGAATACTCACGCCAAATACTTTCCCGCCGAGGCTTGGAGGACCCGATTCGGTGAAGTAATTGGAGCTTCTCATAGCAACAGCTATCGGTACTGGGCCTACGGAGGACGAGCTAGTCAGGGAGTGCAGGAAATGGCCGAGCACGGCTCCACCAAGACCCTGGAAAACGAGATTAGAGAAAACACGCAGGTGGGTCTTTTAAAATCTTAAAGCTTAAACTTTTCTCACTCGAATCGTTGTCGGTTCTTCAGAATGGCAATGTACGCACTTTAATAAAAGCTCCTGGAATATCTCATCGGTTGAACGTCTGGGGCACTACCCTGGCCAATGCACGAGTAGATCCTATTCACCATCAGATTTCGCTGGCCACCAAGGTAGACCCTTCACCAGATTGGATATTGGGGGTAGCTGGTCTAGAGCTTTGTCTGAGCAACTGTACCTGGCTGGAACGAAAGGTATTGAACCTTTTTCCCTGGGATATCGGCACTGATTCAGGACCATCCTACATGGTAAAAAAAAAGCTAAGACCAGTCGTGCGGAATGTAAAGTTCCCTTTTTTTTTCAGTCACCGGATCAGCCTCAGATTCCTCCGGATGTGATACGCCGCATAACCTCCTCATATCCCAGTGACTATCGTTCCCCGTTTTATGATCCATCAGGTGTTCCATTAAAGCCACTAGCCACTCTTTACTTAACCAGAAAAAAGCTTTACATTCGGGAATGTGATGAAGGTAAGAAAAATAATAACATTTAAAGATGATTAATCTTAAATTGGTCCACTAGTTGCCCAGGAAGGACCCTTGGAGTGTGCTGTGCATCCCTGGAACGAATGGACACAGTGCAGTACACGCTGTGGTGCGGGGCTTTCGCAGCGCCAACGCAGTTACAAGAATCCCAGCCTTGCAGCCAACTACAACTGCAAGACTCGACTGGAAGAGACTCGCCAATGCCAGGGAACACAATGCGGTCGAATGGATGAGGAACTGCCTGATGAAGATTCCGCAAAAGACATGGAAAGCCCTCTGGGAGGCGGTTCATCTGCAGAGTGCCAAATCAACAGATGGACTCAATGGTCACCGTGCTCCAAAACCTGCGGCAGGGGGATTTCCACTCGCACCCGCGACTTCTATAATCCTCAGGCCAGGCAGAGGTGTATGTCCGTGATGCGACTGCCACTGGAAGAAACCAGAGAATGTGTGGGGCCCAACTGTGGTGGCACAATTCCCGATGTTGGTGAAATGGACGGCCTTCCTGAAGCGGATCCTTTCGGCGAAGCAGAGCAGAATGGCTTAGACCCTCGGAGACCGACATGGATCAACCGGCAGGATAATGCCAATCCGTCATCTGGTATTCAAACCTGGAACAGAAAGGGGTTCAACTCGAACTTGAACAATATCAATAGACCGCCATTCGATATAGGGGATAACTCGGAAGACAATCAGGATAGAAACTCTTTTAATAGCCCACCTAGCAATAGAGGGTATGATTCCAATCGGAGACAGCCTCTGGACTCTGGATTCTCCCCCTCTAATAGCTACACAAATGACCAATTAGTAGGGAACCGCCCGGGATATGGCAACAATGATTACTCCCCGCCCAATTTAAGATCCGAGTTTAGTACCCAATCTCCTTATGGAGGACGTTCTTTCAGTAACCAACAAAACTTCGAAGACAACAACAGCGAAGGCAATGATAGCTTCAATGTTGTGCAGGACTACTGCTTTCAAAAGCCATACGACTATGAACATCCTTGCTTTGCCCATCCTTTGGTGGTAAGCAACTACTGGTTTTATGATAGCGATGACCGCGAATGCAAGATCTTCACGACCGATAACTGCGACGAGAACAAGAACCGCTTTCGAACTTTGATGGCCTGTGAGGGGACCTGTTTGCATCCTCACAACAACATGGAGCCCACGGAAAACAATCAGATGCACGATTATGGGGAAAGAATTTACAGTCAGACAGCAGGAGGATGGAGAGGGTCCAATAGCCAACCCATGGGATTATCATACAATTCAAGAGTATCCTCTAATATTAATAATCGATTTAGTGAGGGCGGAGTAGAATCCTACAGCCAAACAAAAGAATCGAACTACAGACCCAGATTCTCAGAAACGCCAAAGACCTCATCCCATTTTGGAACTCGATTTGGCGAAGGAGAAGGTGAATCCTTTAGCCAAATCAGGGAACCCACCTACAGATCCAGATATCCGGATTCGCCAAGAGAGTCCTTTGACCAGAGAGGAGATTACAGACCCGAGGAAATAGCAGGAAATATTGAAGATCCCATGACGCAAACGAGGAACAGATATGACTCACAGAGAAGAGGTCGGTATGGTGGCTAAAACATAAATTTTATATAAGCATTCATTGAAAAGAATCAATAAATATTTAACTCAACTCTTTATAGTCTTCCAAGAGAAGTTCCTTGGTTTTCTTCTCTTACAAAGTCTGGACAGTTTTCCGGCGTCCGGCGTATTGGCGTGATAAGAGCTCCATGCACTATATATTTGTATCAGTGGGTCAGAAAAATAAGCCGCACTCTGGCTTATCAGTCCAGATTTTAATTTAATTGATTGTTTTATTGGCTTTTGATTTTGTCTTTAATCATTTGTTCTATTGGCTTTTGAGTTTTGCAATTGGTTTTACAATTTTAGTTTCACAATTTAGTTGGCTTTTAACTTTTCACAAAAACAGTTTACATGGATTTACATGGGTTTTACTTTTGGTTTTACTTTAGTTTACATGGATTTGGTTCAGTTCTGTTTAATTAGATTTTTAGATTTTTACTAGGTTTTGGGATTTTGGGACGACCGCCGCCAACGGTCACAATTGCAGAGTGAGTGGTGAGCATCCGGAGTATTACCCCAGAGGGCAACTTTTGTTCCGAATACTCACCACTTTACATGGCGGGAAAAAGCGACATCGATAAACATGGCGGGAAAAAAAGAATTCTTTGGGACGGCAGGGCATCGATAACAGGGTTGCAGCAAAAACATCAGAAGTCTTATACAGTGACAAGGGCTGCAGCGTCACATTGGCGGGAATTTTGTTGAAGCGCAGCAAGACATCAGCGGTGGTAAAACGGAGCTGGAGCAGGACGACGGGGGCATTTTGGATAAATTGCCGGGCAATTCATGCCAATCCTTGGCATATGGCAAATCCGATAGCATCATCCATGGCAACTGGTAACATCGTGACTTGGATGGGTGGCAACGCTCTCAGAAACATGGAAGAGAATTGCCATAATTTAGTAAAAGGTAAAAATTTACAATAATTGACAATAAGTACGACGAAAGCATTTATCAGAAAACAAGGACATAGTCAAAAAGGAAAAACATTAACTATGGCCAAAATCATCATCAAATGGGGATTCTCATCATGGAGGTTTATTTCAACTTTTAATTTATTTATTTAGTGTGAAAAACATGCTGGCAGCCCCCCTTGCAAGGTTCCAATTTGTAAACATTGATTTTGTTTTGATTCCTCTCCAGATTGCTGCAGTTCCGGGAAAAATGGCATAAATTTAAACAAAATGGCACAAAAGTGGACGGACGAGGGCAGCTCCAAAAACATAAGAATTGACATCAGGAGGGACAGGAATCAGGTCAAGAGTTCAGCAGGTAAGTATCCATAGTCATTATAATAAATTCCAACACTCCAAATTTGTTTTTCAGGAGGCCATCCGTCCAAGTAAATACATCAAGAGGTCCAGGGGGGTAAAAGTCGTCCAACAGAGTAAAATAATTATCATAAAATCAGGGGTAATCCTTGTCTTAAAAAATATCACAGCATATATATCACAGTTTGGTTTCCATAGCAGGTTGACCCCGTTGTCCAAATTTACCCGGGAGGAGATCGTCAGGAGAAGGTCCAGTAGATTTGTCAAAAAGGCTTCATAGGACGACAAGGATGAAAGGAAGGAAGTTAATAATGGCAAAATAGATAAGGGAAGTTCCATGTTTGCTGATAAGGATTCCTTTTATTGTTTATTTTC